CCCCCAACCCCTGAACCCTAAAAACCCCCAAAGCCTCCAGCTGCAGCCGAGAGAGCCGCTAGAAGATCCTTCGCAGGTTCGCCGGCAGTGGGGAGAGCTCGAGGCTGAGGCCACTGCATCATCTTAGTTCCCCAATACCCAACCTTTAAACTTTTTGGGTTCTTATAATTTAATGGTAACCTGAAAGTTTAACCTTTTATTTCCCTGGCTTATTGGGGAAGTAAGTTATCACTAGAGCTGCTAGGGTTTAGGCCCGTTTAGGCCCTAAACTTTGGGCTCAAGGGGTTCAGGGTTTGCGGTGTAGATTAGGGGTTCAAGGGGTTTAGGGTTTGGGGCTTGGATTCAGGGTTCAAGGTTTACGGGATTAGGATCCCGCTGTGAGAGTTTAGGATATGGAAGCCTCCTTCGTCATTCCCCAGACCCTAAATTTACTGATGGAGATCGCCCCATGCCTCGCAGAACTTCGGAGGATTCGGCTATAAGGTTCCAGGGTTTTGGGACAAGGGGCTCCAACTGAAGGTGCGTCACGGTGTTTCACTAGGTTTCCCCAGTAGTAGCCTTTTGCCCTTTTTCTTTTTGGGTTCCTTTATTAAAACCAAATAGTAGGAAAAAGGGTACACTCATTATTCAGGGGCTACTGGGGAACCTAGTTCACACCCCCCAAATCGCATTGATGACGGAAGCAGACTCCTGTACTACAGCCGAATCGAATTGAGGATTGGAGAGCAACTTTTTGCTCGGATATCCCTCCACGTGTCAGGCATATAAAATGTTTCTTCAACGCTTCAAAGCCGTGGGCACCATAATTAAGCCAGTTTAAGTTTGCCGGCTTGCCGGCGGTGTCGATGTCGACAGATTTCCTCGATGGGATGAAACGAGCATGTCTGAAACCGGCCCACAATCTAAGGGTCATACGGTTGATGACATAAATCCTGCAACCCACATAATAATTATCATAATTCATAAGCATAACAATAAGAAAAAGTACATAATGAATAATGAATAACCAATAATAAATAGTCAGTACTCAATAATCAATAATCAGTGTCCTTGAGGTAATGCAGGATTTATATCATCAACAGTAGGGTCTGAAGCTTTTGGGCCCAACTTGGGGCCCGAGAGTTGACGTACGAAACACGCATGGTGTTTAGGGCTTATAGGGTTTTATAGGTTTTTATAGGGCTTTATGGGGTTTTATAGGGACTCTAGGGTTTTATAGGGATTTATGGGGTTTTATAGGGATTTATGGGTTTTTATAATGGGATCTGGAGTTCGGCTGTCATCCAGCCCACGGTTCGAGTTTTATTCTATTTTCGTGGTTTTGTTTTGTGTTTAGCTCTTTGCTTCGACAACAGTTTTGGTGTTTCTACTCTCCATCCATCGGAGAACTGATGCCCAACTGGAAATACCGCTTTGTTCCGTGCGGTGAGTTGCTTGTGCCGACAAGGGTGAAACATGTTTAGAAGCTCTTCTGCGGGCAGGCAAAGCTATGGTTCGAAAACGTCACATATCATGATGATCATAAGAGCCATAAACCCTTAAAGCCCCAAGCCCTATAAAGCCTAAAACCCTACAACCTCACACCCTAAAGCCCTACATGTTCGCCGTGTATGAGGCCAAGCGAGGCACAGCCGTGCTGCTGTTGGGTCTTCCCCTCCCAGTGCACGGGCCTCGAGGTTTGGCGATTCGGGTTCAGGGCTTAAGGCTCAGGGTTGGATTTAGGGTTTAGGATTTAGGATTTAGTGCTTAAGGGTTCAGGATTCAGGCCAAAGGACCCGGCACTTCCCAAAAGCTCAGGGGTTTTGTAGGGCTTGGGCGTACTCTGAAGCCTGGTAGAGTTTCGGGATTCCTCGTGAGCTAGGCATACTCGAAGAACAGTGGGTGGGCCCTTACTATTACCGCATTCATTGCCCACATAGTACTTCTCTGAACTGTTGTCTCCGTGAGAGGAATTGTTGCTGTTGTTAGTATTCTTCCTTGGGCTTGTGGTCATTTCTAGGACATTTTCAGGTGGGTAGTTACCCTTATAGGAGCCCTATAGAAGGTCTCTGTACCGTACAGAAGCCTTATGGAAGCCCTATGTACCCTGAACTCCTTTGATGACACACGAAGCATGTCATCCTTTCCAAGACGGGACACCCTCCTCACAGCATGGGCCGCATGGGATGGTTGTGTGTGGAGGTTTGGAGTTGCATTGGGGTAAGGGCTCAAATCATGAAGGTGTTGAGCTGAACTGTCCAAAACCCGAAATCCTAAACCCTAAATCCTAAACCCTATAAGCCCTAACAGCTGGGCTCGATTGCCAACAGGTTTTTGTGTCTTTTGGTGTCTTTTCGAGGGATTTTCAGGACAGCTGTAGGCCGATCACCCCCCTTGTCTCGGACGACACCCTCGACCTCGAATTCGTTTCCTGTGTAGTAGAGGAGTAGCAAGCAGCAGTAGGACTAGCAGCAGGAGTGGGAGGAGGAGGAGGAGGTAGTAGTAAGCAGTAGAACTTAGTAGCTAGTATGTTTGCATATTTTTGGTATTGGTCGTCGTTGACGTCGCTGTGGTGGTGGCACTGGCTTTGGTTGTCTTGGTGGGATCTCATAGGGATCTCATAGTGGCGTGACCTCTTGTGTTCCTGAGAACCGAGATTGTAGAATATACCGAAGATTATGCAGTGTCGCAGCCAGAGTGGCTCAAAGCAAATTCGCACGCACCGCAGCAACACCCTCCCACCACACCCTGTGACAAGCCGGTTCATGTGAAATTTGTTTATTGCTTCTCTTACGTGGCTCCAATCCCCGAGTAGTTCTGCTTCGACAGGGATTTCCGGGTGGAAACAGTCTGAGTGGGTGGTTGCACGGCACGTGGACCTAAGCACAAGGCGCAAGACAGCCTTCCGTAAGACTGCCCTGCGCGGAACCATTGCTCCAAGCATGTACCACGACTTTCGAGAGTTGCAGCTGTGATGCATCTGGTAGGCTAAGGCTCAAAAGAGCCCAAAAGCCTTACATAGTATGGACTTTGGGCCCAAAAGCATTAAAATATGAGTCCTTAGAGCCTTCGGGGTAATCTCACAGGCGCCTAGGTTTAGGTTGTTTGAGATCCCCTGATCCTTCGGCTTGGAGTTGTGAGGCAAGCGTTGGAAGAGGGACCTCCCTTTGCAAGCGCGGCCGATTCAGAAACATGGAGGTCGAAACAAAGTGCATTCATATTTCCGGCCTTCAAGTCTGTCTACTATGCTAGTCCATAACGTGCCCCAACAACAGACCTTATTCTCATCATTGAGGTCCCTATATTACCCAATGCACAAAGCCCCAATGCCTGAACCATGAGCCACACCCCAAACTCGAACATTCTCCGAACATCAAGCCCGAAACGTTTAAAAGCTTAACCGCAGCTTCGCAGATCTGCTTAACATCTTCGTAATTATTGGAGTAAGTATCCTTTAACTACTTAACTTTAAACCCTATATCATCCCAAAGGTTGAGCTTTAGTTCCCCTATGAAGCTCGACAGTTAGCAGCCTAAGCTAGTATGGGAGTCGAATCATCCGTAATGCTATTCCTTAGGGCTCCGTACTATAATTCTCCTATAATGTACCCCACAACCCTGTTCTGATGATTAAAGCCCCTATATGGGGGTTTCCGAAAATAGGGGACCCTAGTATAGTACCCTAAACACTGGGATCCTTATGATAAGGACCTCAAAATGAGGTACCCCCTTATTTTCGGAAACTCCTGTATTGGGCAGCGGCAAGCTTGGTTGGTGGCTCGACGATTCTCAGCAGTTAGGACTCCAGGGGGCGCGACCTTAATCTTCCCCATCATATGGGACTTTCCGAAAATAAGGGGTGCCTTATTTTGAGGTCCGTATAATAAGGATCCTACTATTTAGGGTAATATATTAGGGTCCCCTATTTTCGGAAACCCCCATATGGGTAATGCTACCTACCTACCTACCTACCTACCTACCTACCTGCCTACACACACACACATACGGGTGTTCGTCAATGGGAGGCCAAAGGCTTCACAGGGAAATATCCCTTAGTTGCACTAGGCCCCCCACCCGAAACCCCAAATCCTGAACCCTCTGCCAACCCCACAGCGTAAGCCTTCCAGTCTTTGCTCTAAACCCCCAACCGCAAACCCTTAGCGGGACCCTTAAAGGGACCCTTGAAAACCCCTTACAGAGCCCTTAACGGAGCCCTAAACCCCCAAACCACAAACCTTGTTTATAGAAGTCCTTATGGATCCCTGAAAGGAGCCCTAAACCCCTAAACTCCAAACCCTATAAACCCTCTACCGTTAACTGCAGGACCTGTACCTGCAAGGGAATCAGAGAACTTCGGGACGAGAGTTTAGGGTTCAGGATTTCGGATGCGGACTTCCTCACACACCCCCTCCACAAGAAAGCTATGTATGTATTTATCTGTCTTTCTGTCTATATAGTTATAATTATCTATCTATCTATCTATCTGTCTATCTATCTATCTAGCTGGCTAGCTAGCTAGCTAGCTAGCTAGCTAGCTAGCTAGCTAGCTAGCTAGCTAGCTATCGATCTATCGATCTATCTACCTATCGATCTATCGATCTATCGATCTATCGATCTATCGATCTATCGATCTATCGATCTATCTATCTATCGATCTATCGGTCTATCGGTCTATCGATCTATCTATCTATCTATCTATGTATGTATCTATTATATATATATATATGTATGTATGTATGTATGTATGTATGTATGTATGTATGTATGTATGTATGTATGTATGTATGTGTAGGGAAAACCATAGTAAAACAACCTTGGAAAGGTAGGTGGAGTTCAGGTAAGGTGTGGAGTGCAGAGTGTCCGTTCAGGGCGTCGGCTTCATTAAACTTGTGACCTCAAACCCTAAACCCTAAAGCCTTAAACCCTAAACCCCTACACTCTAACCCCTACACCCTAAACCGTAAACCCTTAACCCGTAAACCGTCTTATCTAGGTTGCCCTGAAACATGCACCGCACCTGTCCTAGGTGGACGGAGGAGCTGTGGGATCGGAGCGCCTTGGCTGCAACCTTCAGCATCTTACAGGGTTTAGGATGGTTGAGGGTGTAGGGGTTTAGGGTTTAGGGTGTAGAGGTTTGGGGTTCAGGGTTTCAGGGTTTAGGCTCTAGGGTTTTAGGTGGCGGTACGTTGGAACATCACGTTCTACTCCAGTTTCGTATAGCCTGCAAGCCTTGAAAAGAAAGCTCCTGAAGTGCATGGGTTTGAACCCTGATGTCCAAGACCTGCCACCACCTGAAGAAGCCCAAACACCATAAATCCCAGAATACAAGAACACCCCTAAAACAACCAGCTACCCATGAAATCAAAACCTCATATATTGTCATATACTAGAATATGCTGACATAGACTGTAATATCTATAATATGCCTACAAACCCTAAGCCACGGAGGCTCTCTGCCAAACCCAAACGCTCTAAATCTACATGGTGAACCCGTAAACCGTCACAACCCTAAACCCTAAACCCCTAACCCCTAAACCCCAAACCCTTAGCCCTAGACCCCTCATCCCTGAAACCATCTGAGACCCCTCTAACAGCTGAAGCCCAAGAAATGTTGCAGCCGACAAACATCTCGCCTCCCTCCCTGCCATCCCGAACTCTTCAGGGTTTACGTGGACCCCAAAGAACCTACCTTTTTAGGGTTCCTTATTATGATTTCGTTATATAAGTCCTGAGAAAGGTAGGTTCTTTGGGGTTAAGGTAGGGCTTGGAGAGGCCAAGGTTTAAACCTGAGGGTTTAGAGAGGTTGAGGTGTCGACTCCACTACGGTTTAGGGTTTGGGGATTGGAGAATCTGGGTTCGAACTTATGCTCTCCTTTTTGAGGGCTTTGCGGTTTGTTCGGCCTCAAGGTTTCAGACTTGACGGGTTATGGAGGTTTTTGGTACAGCCGGGGATGTCTAAGTTTTTGTGCAGTGTCAAAGCAGTCCGAAGAACTCGTGTATGTATGTATCTGTATAAACACATATAGATACTTTTGCACACGACACGCACACATACATATATATATATACACACATAAACACATACACATAGATGTGTTATCAGAGTCCCTGTTTCAGCATACTCTTTGGGGCCCCAAAACCCCTATTCCAATTGGCTCCTAGATGATGTCAGGGCTCTTGGGCTCCCAGGCCTTCAGTCGTTCGGATGTTGAGATCGGTGTAGCTTCAAGGTTGGGGCTTTGTTCGGGCCGGTCTGCTTCGGGCCTTTTGAGGGCTTTGCATTTAGGTTCTAGATATCAAGCCCCAAGCCAGATCCGCAAAAGGCTTTTGGACTTCGTTCCTCAATTTCCACGAAAACCCACCCCAAAAACATAGCCTTCCGTATACCTACCTTGATCCTCAGGTTTTGGGACTTCCTCCATCAGTGTCTACGAGTCCAAAGCGGACCTCTATGATTGGCAGCGGTGGGAGAAGCCGCATCATGGACAAATAACCTTCGATCGCTTGAAGGTTTTTGTCGGTTGGAAAGGGGTTTTGTGGGGCTTGGTGTAGGGTTTGATGACGGTTTAAAGTTTGAGTTTCGCATACCCATGGGTCTTTGTAGAGCACATGTTCCGTCGTCATAAGCAAAAAAATGCTTTTCAAGCAGGGCCAGGCTCAGGTTGGTGCCGGTCAGTTTTCAGGAGTAGGGTTTAGGGTTTTGGGTTTGGTACGGTTCCTGTCATCCCGGGCTGTTCCTGGCTATTCATAGAGAAAGCCCTCAGCCAATCCTGGATGCCTCGAAAGGATCCGTGTACCCCTGATCTCGGTGAACGTAGCTGAACTCTACACCCAGTACCCGCCTAATCTCAACCACAAGTGCTCAACGCCTCAACATCCATGCGAGCCTGAACCCTGTAACCCCTGAAAACACCCAAACGGTAAAACCAGATAATGTTGGTGTGGCTACAGCTGAACCCTAAACAGTTTCCTAGTTCCTAACCGCAAGCCTTAAGCCCATATAAGCCCTAGGTATGTGGTGGTGTGGCTACATGGAATGCATCAGGGTCCCATTGATGCCAGCACACTTCGCAAGCTGCAGCGGAGGCTTCGAATGCTCCTCCTCGGGACCCAAGCATTCGGAAACAATCCTGGGCTCAACGGTTTAGGGTTTAGGGATTCGGAAATAGTCCTGGGCTCGAGTCTCGGGGTTTGGAAGTAGAGAGGGATGGGCTTATCATTGCGTTCTCCTGCGTCAGGGGCACTTCTGCTTTCGTCCAAGCAGGCTTCGTTTTCAGACTGCCAGTCCGGCACCCAGAGACTCCAAAAGCCCTTAATTAAGGAATATACCTTAAATTGTAATAGGAACCCTAATAAGATCTAAGGTATATTCCTTCCTTAGGGGGTGTTGGAGTCTCTGGGCAATGGGAGCCTTCAGACTCAAACCGTTGGAGGCTGACTTGCGAGTTTAAGGGAGGTGTGATGTGGTCTGTTGGGGGTTTAGGGTTGTTGTTCAGTTGTTCAGGCTTGTTAGAGTTGCTTTTGAACCAAAAGCCCGAAACATTGAAACGACATCGGTACTATGCAAGATTCACGCTTGAGCGCAGGCTACTACTACTGCTACTACTGCGACTACTACTGCTACTACTGCTACTACTGCTACTACTGCTACTACTGCTACTACTACTACTACTACTACTACTTTTCAGAATAGTCTTAAGATAATGAATGCTACTAACAATATCTAGTAACTGCCCTAGTTAGCCTTACAGCCGAACCCTAGAGGCTTCGAGCCCAGAACTCATGAATCGCCAGTAAGTAATGCCACTGGGCTTGATATTCGGGTATGGGGTTCAAGACACGGTTCTACTGGGCTAGGGTTTTGGGTTTTGGGATGGTTCAGGTGTTTCTAGATGAAGCTCGCAGGCTTTGGCGTCGGGTGATCTTCGTCGTTCCGACCAACCCGGAACCACAGCGTGGACGCTTTGCACACTTGCAAAGTTCATTTGTCAGCTGCTGCGTTGCTACGTTATGTTTGTCATCTTTGCGTTCGTTGTCATGGCGCGGCGCCAGTTGCTGCAAATGTCATCGCCTTTGTGGTGAGTGTGCTGCTGTTGCTATTGTTTTTGGTGGTGATGATGGTGGTGGTGATAGTAGCGTTGGTTGTAGGGGTGGTGGCGGGAACGGTGGCGGGAAAGGTGCTGCTGGTTGCTGCCTGCTGCTGACGTATTTTTGTTTGGTGGTGGGTTGTTCTGTCGGCCATGTGTTTTGTTGCCTTGTTTGTTTGTGTGCATGGGATATGCCTTGCCTGGCGAAGCAGCTGGCAGTCACTAAAATGTGAATGCTATCCGTATGTGCCGATCTGCCTTCCCCAACAGGGTGATTCCGAAGTGTGAGAGTGAGTGAGTGTGTTAATGAAAGACAGAACAGAGGGATGGACAGCAGAACAAGAGAAAGAGGGAACAGTCAAAGGAAAAGAACCAATTACATGGAAAGAATACAAGGAATGGACTGTGGAAGACGGGAAAGAGAGAGATAACAACTGAACCAAGCAATACACAAAAGGCAAGCAACAAAAGAGAAAGCCGTAATCAAGGAACGAGGAAGACGCAAAGAGGGTTTTACTGAAAGAAGGAAAGAAGTAACGGAATGCAGAAAGCAATAAAGAAAGACTTAAGGACAAAAGTGAGAGGGGCAGAATGCCAGAAAGCCAAACAGATAGAAAGAGAGAATGCTAGAAGGAAGGAACCGCGAAGAAAGCAACACGGAGGCACAGAATGAAAGAAACAGGAAGGAACGAACGAGAGAAAGACAGAAAGACAGAAAGAAAGGAATAATCGAAACAAAGCAATGACGCAGAAGAAACGACAGAAATACACATATAAGGAAAGAAGCAAGAGAGAAAATTGACAGCGGAAGAGGGGCATAGTGTAACAAAGAAGAAATGAAATGTGCAAGGCCGACAACAGAAAGGAAGAAGGAAACAAGGAGACGAAGACTAAAATGGAAACAAATGCAAGGGAAGAGGAGGAACCGGCAGTTCACGGAAGGGAAGAACGGAAGAAGGGGATAAGCAAAGAAATAGAGCAAATAATGCACGAAAGCCCCCTTTCAATGCTGTAAGCCGTCCAAGCTAGCTAGAAGGAGCATCTTGTTATCAAGAACAGAACGCCTATGGACCCTTTCAGAAACCATCATGCAGGCGTTGCGTTTGCAATTTGGGCTGCACCTCCCCTAACCCAGGTCTGTTACGCTGTGCAAGCTTGTACCATCAATAAGAATTGCTCCCCGTGGAGTATTTCACAGCCCGTCCTGCGCACCACTGGCCGATAAAGGTGTTTGGTTGTCCGCCCCTTACAAAGGAACTAAGCCATGACCAAACCCGCATAAACCCCCATTCTTGACCCTTAGCCCTCTAAACCCTGAACCGCAGATGGACCGAGATCCAGGAATGCTTTTCAGCTGGGGATGCACCTTCACCAAGGCCCAGAACAAACAGGTGGGCGTCCCAGGGTGTTGTAAGTCATTTATAGCCTTTCGACGGGTTTTGATCTGGCTTGAGCGGGCTGTTTATGGGACACTCGGAGGGTTCTAGAAGGCTTCACAAGGTGTGTATTTTTTTTGTAGGTTCTTGTTACGAATGTGTGATTCTTCATGTAGATAAAGAGGGTCTAAGGCCGTTTGCATCGCCGCCACCACAACCAATCTTCTAATCATGCTCACTTTATTGTGTGTTGGTGTACGATCTCTCAAGGAGTAATTGCAGTTGTGTGCACTTCTGGTCATTTACTTCTTTCATGATGTTTTTCAATCGTACCATTGTCATGCATCTCAAGTTATGTCCACAGTTTGTGCTTATTGAAGGCTTCGAGGGATCTACTAGAAGGCGTGCTGGCTTTTCGAGAGTTGAGGCTTCGCACTATGGCTTTCGACGGCGGAGGGGTTTCTTGGCTTCGGAACTCTCGCTGTATCTAAACATTAGGGCTTTAGCCCTTGTGAGGTTTCATGGGGAGCGTCGGCTTGGGCACAATCCGGGCACGCAAGGCTGTGACGTGAGAAGCTCATGGTCGACACGAGACATAGCGAAGTGGCAGGGGCGCACGACAGAACGACAGCTCGGCAGAGAGATCAGATCTGAAGCCCAAGGGGGCAATGAACCCTCTAAGTGCCTCTAGGCCCCGGACCCTATCGGTCTTTGTCCTGATGTCCCTCTGTCTGGCGGTGTAGGGTTTAGGGTTTATATAAGGTTTAGGGACGTAGCGAAGGGATTCAGAATGAGGATGCCGACAGAAAGCGGTTTCCGGAAGTCGCTAAAAGCTTACGGCAGGGTGAGAAGTGATTGCACAAATCAGGACGAGACATGTGGAAGGCGACGAGAAAAGCTTCTGTGAGTCTGTGAGCAGTGCTGAAGGGCCGAATTCCACATGAGCACTAGCAAGTATGCAGGGCGACTATGAGCGCCCTCACTAGACAGAACGAGTACTGCTTGGACTTGGGCTGGACGCTGTAGGGACGTTTCATCGATGCCAGGGTAAGCCAGCAAGGATGCGATAAAGACGATGACGGCTCAGCTAGAGGGCGCATGAGAACGACACGTGTAGCCATCTCAGAGAAAAGCCTTCCCACCACTGGGTGGGAAGTGCGGCGACAGAAGAGCTACGAGACAGCTGGAGGCCGCGACAAGTCTTCAGCAACCTCTTGTTGTGCATAGTGCTGAGAAACCGAGATTACATCTGTGAATGCCCAGCTTTGAAAGAGACTTCAGCCGTGCCTTGGAGTGAAGGACGCTAGAACGGGTCGGAGAAGCCGATCAAGCAAGGCAGTCTGAATGATACCGAAGAGGACGCGATAAGGCGGTCGAGCAGAGAGCATACTTTCAGTTCAAGGGGGCATGAAGGGCGAGGCGAGATGCAGTTCTAAAGTCGAAAGGGCCTGCCTACGAGCGGCCATCTCGCATTCTGGGGTGAGCTAGCAAAAGAGCCGTATACCGAAGAGCTTAAGTAGAGGAGGATCGGAGATCGGAGTTCCAAATCGGCTCGGAAGTTCAGTGACAAAGGCGACTCGCATGGAGACCGTGAGAACTGAGCATCTACCAGCCCTCTCCTATAGTGCGGATGAATCGAAGTGACGTGAGTACGTAAGTAAGTAGAGTGCCGGGCCACTGTACGTGTCCACCCGGGGACCACTCCTCGCATCTATATGAAAGAGAGCCCCTCCGTGCTTTGGAATGAAGGACGCTAGATCGTGTGGCTCGCGAAGCCGGTGAAGCAGAGGCACAGTGCGAATCACACCGAAGAGGGGGAGAGTGGCTGTGACAAAATGAAGGCGAGGCTCGGGGAAGCCGCGAGAAATCTCATCAGCCTCTCCCCTTATAGCTGATGAATCGAAGTCACGTGGGCAGTAGGGCTATCGTGATTCCGTGGCACCTCCCATTGGCAGTAATGTAGTTATCCAAAGAGTGCACAGCTTTGCCGCGGAGCTTCAGGACAGCAGGACGAGTGATCGGAGAAGCTGTGGAGGCAGAGGCACAGAGCCGGGTGGACGCAGTCCATCCGAGCTTAGAGACGGGAGATGCGATGAAGTTCTGCTCAGTAGGATCGCTAGGGAGAACGAAGCTCCGCAAGGGGGAGCATGAGCCATGTAGAATGTGTACTGGATGTCTGCGGTAGCCTCCATTCTCTCCGACACCTTGTCTCAATCGAGCAACGGCGACGCCAGACAGAGATGAACTACCCAGACGTCGTGGTACCGACACCAAGGGCCGACGCAACAGACGACGGAAAGATAGCGAGCCATTCGAAGAAGGCCCCTCCAGCCGTATGAGAAGGGGCCTGCGAAAGAACTGATGCACCGGAACGGAGCGAAGAAATTTCTCAACTTCTCAGTCTCCCCTCTCTATCACTCCCTTCTTCCGTCTCGATCTCTCATCCCAGCTTGAACTTAGCATTTAAGCTCAAGCTAGTGTGACTCCCTGCAGGATCTGGGCCACGTGCACGGTGACATTTGCAAGCCCTTCCTTTCAGCCTTGACATCGAAGGCGCGCTGGACAGCTTTCTGGAGCGATCAGACATTGTCGCTTCCCTGCTAGCTGCTAGCTGTTCAGAGAGGTGTGCATATACATAATATATATATATACAGTATGATAATACAATTAGACATATACACAAATAAAGAATCAGCAGTAATTAAGTGATTGATGAGAGCCAATGTGGCTTGCCATGTAGTTCTTCAGTTCACAGTCAGTCAGTTCCTTTAATAGTTTATGCATCCACCGACCCGAATGCACAACTTCGCACCGAAAGGTGAACGAAGCAGCAGACTACTTCGATGCTGAGCGAGTTCTTGTCATGGGGCCGCTAGGCTGCCAAGTCGTTGCAGGTGAAGATTCAAGGGTTTGGGCCGGGGTTTCATGTGTTTTGCTTTATGGCCGGCATTATGAATCAGATTATATAAGGAGCTTAAACAATTACCAATACCATTGTGGGGGTTCCTTACACATGTAGTATAATGTACACCCCAAACCCTACTCTAAGTCTTGAGGCCCCTACATTATGTTTTCATGATTCAATGATGCTTTTGCCATTGCTATCGTCATTGAACAGGGATGCCAGTGTTGCAGATACTGCAGTCAGCAGTGCTTGGGTTTCTTGCTTCGTCCAGTATCTCTGTTAGGTCTTTTCATGCTTCTGAATTCAGCGACTCACATTGTTGCATGGAGTGCTCATCCTGTGTAACTCCGTGTATTTCTACACTTCCGCGACGGAGTCTAGGGTTCAGACCTATTCCCATTTTGTTCAAACATATGGTTCCCGTTTCAGTTTACGTGAGCTTCCCTGACCACTGTATGTGCCATAAAGCACTCTGAAGACATCGCGGCTCTATGACAACAACACGCCTTTTTCGCCACATGGCGTCGTTTCCTGTTCATACTCGCAGTTGGCGTGCCAGGAGCAGTAGTAATTAGTAGTAGTTGTCGTCGTAGTAGTAGTAGTAGTAGTAGTAGTTGATTTTGTTATTCTTCTTGTTCTTGTTCTTGTTGTTGTTGTTGTTGTTGTTGTCGTCGTCGTCGTTGTTGTTGTTGTTGTGGTTGTGGTTGTGGTTGTGGTTGTGGTTGTGGTTGTGGTCGTCGTCATAGTCGTCGCCTTCGTAGTTCGTAGCATTGTACCCTCCCAAAAATCAGCTCAAACACCCGGGACTCTGAAGCCCATGGTGCTTGATCCAAGTCATCGATAGCTTCAAGCCCTAGGCAGGGCCTAAGCTGGAAGTGTGCCCCAAAGCCCACATCCCTAGCCCCTACGTCAATCTTAAGCTGAACCTTCTACCTACGTCGCAACTAGCACACCCCCCTAGGGTCCCAAGTAGCACTAAAGTAACATACGCATTGAGGCCCAGGTACCTACCAAGACCCCACTCTAATCTAATGGTCTAGGGTTTACGGTGAGGGTTTAGGGTTTAGAGTCTAATGGTACGTCCCTCAACCTTAAACCCCTTCGGCAAGGTACAGCATGGGTGGCTTCGGGGCACTCCAGCTGGGTTGCCATGAACCGGAGGCAAATTCCTTAATTAGGGGGTATTGGGCTGTCTGGACATGGCGGAATAGGGCTATTGGCTGTCGGACTCGGGAATTTAGGACTAAAGCCCAGCTCAACAAATTGAAGTGTGGTAGTTGGAGTCTAGGCTTCAGTTAAGGGCTTTGGCTTGTGGGCACTGCTCCCAGAGATTGGAATGAAGAAGAGGGCACTAGCTGCGAGCTATCATATCTTTTTCTGCACCGTCCTGTCCAACGCCACGACACGATGAAACTGATGACAGCGACAACACACCACTAACAACAAGCAGCAGCTGAACCGCAATATCCAAACCAAGCAACAAAAGACATAAGACCGATCGTAACCCGAACGAAAAGTTCCCTCTTCCGAATCTGGATTTTCCATCCTAGAAACCCTGGGACCTCAAGCACTCAGAAGATCCCTCACAACCCTGCACAAACCTCGAAACCCTAAACCCTAAACCCGAAGCCCTAAACCATATAAAGCCTAAAACCCTAAGCCCTAAACCCTAAGCCCTAGCTAAGGTCCATTCTGCAAGTTAGCAGCTTCAGAGCTTCTTTCAGCAGTGAGGCCTACGATGCGGTGGTCTCGATCGCTGGCTATGGCATGGGTATCTCAAGTTGCAAATCCGAAACCCGAAAGCCCTCAACTCCCAAACCCGACAGCACCAAACCTTGAACCCTAGAACCGTCAACCCCCCAATCAGAAGAGTTTCTGATTTGGGACCTTACAATTAGCATCACCATTGCCCAAATGCCTTACATACTAGGGTCTTTGGCCTCAAAAGCCCGAAAAAACAGGAGTCCTTTGAGGGTAAGGCTTAGTGTTTAGGGGAAGTTTGGTAAACCCTAATCCCAAATTTCCCTAAACCATAAACCCCTAAACCCTATAAACCCTAAACCCGAAAAACCCTAAACCCCTAAACCCTAGAACCCCTAAACCCTAAAATCCCTAAACCCCTAAAAACCGCAAAACCCCAAAACCCCTAAAACCCCAAAACCCCTAAACCCCAAAACCCCTAAAACCCCTAAACCCCTAAACTTTA